GTCAAAAATATGCTAGCTAACATTCAATTATGGTCATAATGTGCGTAAATTATTAATATTATATACTTTGTTGACCTCTGATGATAAGAGTCTATACTGTTAACCAGTCATGACACTGGTCATATTATCCATCTAATTGTCAATTATGTGATATTGTTGTAAAACTTAATTAAATTCAAATACAGTATTTGTTTTGGAAGTTATCGTTAATGAATAATATTATTGAGCATTATTATGTTTAGTATATTTATTTTAAATTTCAATTTGTACTGTATACAAATATCATTTTAGGACACATCAATTAGCAGCTAATGTTCCATAATAATTTAATGTCTTGTTCAATTTATTACTATTTTATAATGATAAACATTATAAAATTTTTATTAAAACGTCAATTCCTATTTATTTGATTCACAATTATAGTCAACAAAGTATATAATATTAATAATTTACGCACATTATGACCATAATTGAATGTTAGCTAGCATATTTTTGACTTAATTAAAAGTCATTCGATATACATTACCCTTTTGGGTACCACTAGTGAACACAAATAAATTAAAAGCACTTGAATTACATAATAAACAATTTACTAAACAATAGTACAATTCTGTCAAATTAAGTCTAATTTACAATTTTGTTTACCTTATATTTAATTAACACTAAATATATTTGTTAATTATATTGGTTTCAAAAATATAAATCATAAACAATTACAAACTTTCTAAAGACATAACAGATGTGAATATGAATTTATATTTTAATGGTTTAAATACATGTATGAAAAACGCAACAAAAAGTTTACGATAATTGTTGACTAACCCAGAGTATACTAGAATAACTTTGTGTGTCCCACCCCAACCGTCATTAATGATCCTGGTCAAATCAATATTTTTTATTATAAATGAAAGCCTGTTAACAATGATTGATAATAGACTGATGAGTCTAACAGTGATTGGTTTCACTATTCAATGAGTTGTCGACTAAATTGAATTCGTCTGAAGACATTGTCCTAAGAGTCATATCATATCATATCTATGGTGAGGAAGAAGGGTCACCGCAAACCGTTTGTCCGAAAGCCGATCTCTCCGATAGAGAAGCTCTACGACTGTCCCCTCTGTGGTCAAGAGAAGGCATGTTTGGTGGACAGGGATATCGCCACAAGTGATGCTCGGATCAGGTGTGAGAAGTGCGATGAGTTGTACGCCACGAAAATCACTCATTTGTGTCAACCCATAGACATCTACTGCCAGTGGGTGTCGACGCACGCGAGGAAGCCATTCATTGAGCCCAACATACGCCCCCACATACCTGTCCACTCGCACTCATGTTAAATATGTTGTATTTTAATTACTTAATAAATAATTAACTAGGTGTTTTAATTTAAGCGTGTTTGTGACTGCATTAATTTGCAAAAAATTCATTTTTCATTAATTTTGTTATAAATTCTGATAAAATGTTCTTGGTATAAAAACTAATATTTATATAAATAAATATTAAAAAATTTTTATTTAAAAATTGTATGTTAATAATGTCAACACTACAGTCAAAAAATAGATGTAATATTTATACACAAATAATTTATTGGCATAACTTTGTAGTGTTATATTTTTATGGCAACAATAAGTGAGTAATAAATAAAATGTTTACAATTATTGTGTAGAAATCTTAAGAATAAATTGGTGATTATTATGACATTCACTCTCTGTTTAATAAATATTGGTATAAATTATTCAAATAAATATTGTCTAAAAAATATACTCTATTATTATTATAAATATTTTTATTATAAAATATTATTATAAATAATAAAAATAAATTGGTAACACTAAATGAGTAATATAAAAGTCAAAGTCAAGTATTTGTATGAATATAAAACCTTATTTGTACCTGGATAATAGTTAAATATTGTTTTATAAAATTGTTATAACATTAAATATTACTATATTAAATAAATTTTTCAAAAAGCACACAAACAAAACAATTAATTAAATATACATATTTAATCATTTCATTACATTTAGGGTTAATTTTTATTTAAATATTCTAATAATGTGTTTAAATTTTTAAATTTATATCCGACTTTTCTAAACTTACACCCGGTACATTGGCTAGAACTGATTTTTAAATTGTTTTCTAATTAACAATTAATGCCTAAAAATAATGTGTAGCTAACCTCGGTGTGATTAAATAAGACTACATTTTCTTAGTACTTATATTATTAAAACAATTAAATTACGCCAAATAAGATATATGTATGATTCATTCACAGAGAGGCGTTAAATTAAAAATAAAATTGATTCATATTTTATTGCAAATAATATTTATTATTTTCCATATTTATAACAATACTATCTTCCAAACTTTGCAAATAGTTAATATACAACGATCTCTTATCTAAATCAATATACATTATATACAATCTATACAATATACAGCTATAGACAGGCATAACTAGGACAGGTTTTTGCTAGATTACTTCAAAACCGCAAATTCTATCTTGGTTCTGACTTCAGGATCTTATTCTCAGATA